AAGTAGAAAAAATCTTTCATCGGCTTCGAAACATCGCAACTCCATCCGTGTCGCTTGTTACTAACAGTTCGTACATTTAGATAAATTGAAGACATACAAGTAAACCTGAAATAGCAAGAAAGTATAACATAGGCTAAAAGTTTGAGAGATAAATGAAACTACATAGTCTTAACGTCGCTGCGTACTTTACTGACAAAAGAGAACTATTTCTGAAGCAGAACAACCAACCCATAAGGGGGCATGGTCAATACGGATTTCTCGACATATTCAAACTACACAGGAAACATGCGCCAGGGGAGGTGATGACAAAGTAGTGACCGTCAAAGGAGATAGCTAGTGCGTAGAAATGGAAGTAGATTATGCTCCAGGTTGCGTGCGTACAATCCACACTACCTGTGTTGGCTATTCATTCGGCAACTGTAACAAACGTTAATGAAACGCTGCTGATAGCCAATTGTCAAGAGGACATAAAGCAGCCCACATACACACACATTTTACGCCAAAGAACTCCTGCATGGGGGAAGACTTTAAGAGCAGATATGGGAGAGGAAAATTGATAAAGATGCAGTGATTATCTTGCAGTCGATTCCGCCATGAAAGGACTGCACACAAACAAAGAATTTACCGAACAATGTGAACGCTGAGAGGACGGATTTTGTGAAAATAAATGGAACTTGGTGAATTGCTATCCTAGTAGGGGCAACAATTGAAGCAATGCTCCGAAGCCGTTATTCTTAATTTGGCTCAGATCCTAATGCAGACTAGACATTTCAGTGGACAACAAAATTGCAATTCCAGGCAGCGTAAACACCAGCATCCGAAGTGGACCAATAAATCGACCTCACTCCCAAATCATGTGCTTCACGGGCTTGTTAAAGCAAACTGAAAAAAGAGAAGAATTGACTAAGCTTCCAAATCCACTACCGCGCATGCCTTATTCGTACATGTACACATTTGTATGTCAAAGAGATTGAAATCCGATAGAGACAAGGAGGAAGGTGATTGATTAATTAACTTCTCCCCGAAGTCAAATCAAGTAAGCTGTTTGCAAGGCCAATGCTCGAAGAGGGCATCGGTGTCTCATGTTCCTTACCTTTCTGTATCACGTTCTCTGTCCTTTGTAACAGTTTACAATGCCACTTTTGTGATCGCTGTCTCGAGTGCTTATTAGGATGAGCAAAGCCGACATAGTGGCACAGATTAAAATGATTGCCCTTAGCACGATCTAAAGATTTAAGCTCTAAAATTTGATGAGCAGCACACACTAGCACTGGCTCTTTGTAGTAGCAGGAGAATTTAACCTGGCATCAGTTCCATTTGTCTAAAGGAGTAAAACTGCAAAACTTCCGTTTATTCCGTTTTCGGCAACTTTCCGATGCGATAGCTGCTAGAAATGCACGAAATTCTGCTTTAGATTTCTATTGGTTTTTAAGCGATTCTCCCAGGCCATCCACTCAAACATCCCCTTAGCGCACCTGGGCAGCGTAACCAAGATGACCGCCTTGGCCACTCAGATTACATGAGATGGCAAAAATGTGTGCATCGCGCTGCTGGGGTTGACGATCGTGCGTGAACATTTGGCCAATAGCAGGTCTCGAGGCCAACGGCCATTTCTGGAAGAGAACAAGTTAGTGGGAGAGGCGAACGAGCAGGCACATCGAAGGCATGAGTATGGCTAGGGCAATAGAAGGAAAAACCAGTAGACTTGAAACTAGAGGGTGTTTCATGTACAAACTGTCTCGTTAGGCACTTGAAAGATGCAAATTGTTGTGACCCGTGAAAGCGGGTTTGAGTGAAGAAGCAAGTAATAAGTGCCTGCAAAATTGATAAGCTGAAACCGTGTATTTAATACAAAATGTAGGACCCTCATTGCATCACAAAACGAACGAGCCTCACTCAAAGGAATGCTGTTTGATGTGACAGAGAAATTACAAAGTCGTAGACGCTTTCGGATATGCTTCTCAAACTTTCCAACGCAAATCGATGAAAACCAATGAAAGCGCCGCCTATCGCAAAAACATAAAAATTGCCGTCAGTAATGCATTAGCTTGAGTGTCATTTTCAATTCATTCATCAGGGTAGATTGTGAAGCAAAAATTGAGAGTACAAACCCCTATGGTTAAAATACAAGTTAGTAACGGTGCCACGATAAAACTTCATAGCTGGCGAAAAATCCCCACCATTTTTTTCGGCAATTAAGTTGCATCCAATCTTTTTCCTGTTCTTGCAGGTAATTTCCGTTTTGATGCCTCATCCATGAACATTGCTTCGAAACCCGCCATGACATTTGACAGATTCGATAGAATGATCAACTTCCTTCCAAATCGGATGAAGAGAATGCACGTCTGGTGTTGATTACCCTGAAATCTACAGCTCCAAAAACGGAAGCAAAATTGAAGCGTCAAACAACCCAAAGCAAAGCCTGCCAACGCATTAAGCATTGCTTTGTGGCTATGAATGCCAATTAACTCTCGAAGTGGTTTCGGACCATCTCAAAGGAAGAAGTCCTTTCCGTGAATAAAATTAGGAGATTTATTCCTACTAACTAGCCAACTAAAAAAAGAGCAGAAAAGTAGCTGATGGTCAGGGCGGTTTTAATCTTTCAAGCATACAAACACTGGCGCTCCCAGACGCTGCCAGATGTTTGCTATACTATTACTGAGCCTTCTTCGTTCACTTTGTGAGGAGGCTCAGCTGTTTTACTTCAAATAAGACGCGTTCAGTTGCAATGTTTATTTTGAAGCCTTTTCAAATGGACTACGAAGTGACGTCATCCAAGTTGCCATCCCCTTTAACGCTAAGGCAAACGGTAGCAAATGAAAAATGGTCAACACGAGCGCAAGTTCTGCTAGACAGACGCCCCCTGTACTGTAGTAGAAATGGCTAAATGCATAAAAATTACATTATTATTCGAGATTGATTTCGTCCTCCTTTCGGCTGGAGAGAGCAAGCCTCTTAACAATTATCTGACGAGCGATTTTCGGACAGCACAGTACACAACGCCCCGTGAGTAACGCCCAACAGGAAATTGCCGTACATGCGAGATGCAAATTGATGCGTTTTGGTCATAACCAAGTTGCATTCCCAATGAAACGGGCTACAGAAACTTGGATGGCTATCACCTCTACAGATTAGAAATTGGCTACACAATCGCCCAATTCACACAATTAACGAGACAAAGCCAAATAATCCTTATCTCAAAAAGGACAAAAAAGAGCTGCGAAATCCATACTTGCATAAAAGTATCATTAGCTTTGATAAAATTTCCGCAAAAGCTTTCTTCATGATAGAATTTCCAACAGCTAAATTCACTTTGAAAAGAAATGCTGGCCATGACCCAATGGTGTCATTTTTACCTGGCATTATCTGAGACGTTCATTGAAAAGTTGGCAATTCGACAAAGACTAGAGACGTTTTGCATTCCGAATATGGATGAACCGTGAGACTGCTTCATCGTGTGCAACGGTTTCATGCGATGTAGGACAACCGTTTTCCTAAAACTTTTCCTGTCAGACTCTTCCTCTACCCAATCAAGTAAGTCAAACAAACTTCGTTCTTGACCGTATCAAGTCAAACAAACGGTAAATCCATACACTGCAAGGTCTTTGGTATTGCCAATTCAGGTGCAAAAAGGCTTTCAGGAATTCAGTCTCTCAATCAAGGGCCTAAATTTCGATCTAAATCAAAACGGTACAACTAACAGAGGGCAGAAATGCAACACACAGGGTCTATTGTCTGCACGCAGAAAATGCAAAGATTAATTTAGTGGTTCCGATTCTGATTAAAATTGTTTAACTTTAAAGACATTTAGCAAAAGCGAAATTCAGGTTGGTCTCTATTTTTGGTGCCACCTTCGAAAATTAGTTCTTTGATTTGATTTCAGGACCCGCTCTTCAGTTCCCATGGCTAGAACTTTCACACCTATATCAGAATCGCTTTTGAGCAGTGTAGCCTCCAAACGCGCCTTATTTGCCGACATTTCGGCTGAATAGAAAATTCGCTTGTGCTTATAAGCACAAGCAACTTCGTTTTCGAAAGTGAGAGGATGTTGAAACATGAGATTAAAATTTAGAAAACACGTAGAATACGTGAATATCAGTAAAGCTAATAGGCATGCACTTTCAAAAAAATGTACCTGCATGATCGAAAAGGAAGCAAAATTTACTTTCACATCAAGACGTTGTAGTGAGTCTGGCCTGCCTATCCAGTTGTGACTAGACCTCGTTTTATTCACTCCTACCCAATGGAAATAATGCTCAAAAGAAATCGGGAAAAAACTTAACGATGCAAGACTTCCAATTTACAGGAATCGGCCACATTACAGAGAATCCGGTGATTCACGATTAGTGAGAAGTGAACAAGAATTGATGCACTCAGAAAAAGATCGGTAATGAGATTAAAGCAATGAAATAACCCAAAGTAGGAAAAGCATCGTTGATGGGATGCTCCTATCAGAGAGCACACAGAGAGCCGTTGCCTTTTTAGGCGTGTATGGGCGGGCAAGTGTAGTACAGTGCGCGAATCAGTGCCCAGGCAGCAGTAACGGTAATGGCGGAAGTGGCAATAGAAATGGCCCCTCGAGACGTTGACATAAACAGTTCATTCTACAATTGATATGCGTACTGTGTGCATAATATCTGAGGTTAGACCGAGGCCACCTCAGCTGCTATGCTGTCTGTACACATCTACCACCCCACCCCATTAAACACAAAGCAAAGAATTGAGACGAGGCTAAATATCAACACGCCGAAGACATATCCGACGATTTTATAGCTGCAGTTCATTACAATGATAGGCAGACTCCAGGTACCTTAAAGACAGTGACCTCAAAACTGTTGAAAAGATACTTTTCAATCCAGTTATTTAGAACCTAAATAGTCGTATTCTAATACTCAAAGGAAATAGTTGGAGACAAGATCGATCATGGGAACCAAGAACGGCTTTACCGAGGTTCAAAGTTTCCTATTAATGTGGAAAGCAGTTCAATCAGTACCAAAATTTCAATGTGTAAACAATTTAACAAGGCACAACTCACGACAAGCATCTGTTGAGTCGTTAGGTCGTGCAGCGCCTGGGCAAGGCATTTTTGAAGCAATAGCAGCACAGTTCTTGTGGGTCTTCAAGCTGAAAAGTGGGTAAACATCGGGGTAGGACAACAAATGTGAAGGAATTTATGCAAGTAGTGAGAGTATACCTACTTGCAATAAATGCAATGGAGAAAGCGCAGCGTCAGCCTACCATTGCACACGGTGCAGGGTGTACGGCGAACGAAGTCGGTGAACTTCGCCTCGCTTTCAAACCTAGTGAGAGAGGAGGAGTAAGCAACTTTAAGAGCCTACCGATGCGCGTGTCCTGGTAAAGGAAGGAGACTCGCAGATCCGTTGGCGTTGAAAGGGACAGTTAGGCGGCCTACAGATGGACATCAAAAGATGAAACTTCAGCCCAGACAATATCCCCTTTTCAGCTCCAATCGCCGAAGCAAGCCAATATTTTTAAACATATGTTGCAAGCATTAGGCATTAAAAATATCTCAAATAAAGCCCATTTTAAAGCGCAGTGTCTGAGATAATAATTGTCTTTGCCAAAATATGAAACATTTTGTATGATGTTCTCGTGTTTTGCCAGATAAGACCGGAGATTCCAAATCCGTTCTAACAAGGAGGATGTCCTAGAATCCGATCCTCAGAAAGAAATATACTGCCTAAAATAATTGCACATCATCTAACCAATGAAGATGCTTTAAACAACATCCAACAAAAAGAACACTAAGGATACCGAATGGAGCTAAAATCGTTACCTCAGTGATACTGCTATCAAAAAAGCTTCGGAATGTCACTAAGTCCTTTTACCAATGAATCATTAGAGGGTTGCTTGATAGAAAACAACAACAAAACGATAAGTGAACTATATAAACATGGATCGACCTGAAGAAACAGCGGGATACAAATTCTGAATTGCTTCACGCTAACTGTTGGACAGAAACGAAAAAGAAGTGCCAAAAAATAAAACAAATATTTCAACTACCACTGTGAATAGAGTACCCCCATTAAAAAGTTGGCAGTATATTTGATACTATCAAGTCTTGATCATAGTTCAAAGCTTAAGCTCTCAAGAGTACACCTTATAGATGGGTAAGATGCATACCACCGTCAAGGTGCCGGCAATTACTGCTATGGTGGATGAGGTTCGGCTGACGTTCCGATCGAGAAGTGCATTTCGGTGAAACGGGAGCGACTACCCCCAAGTGAGTCGGAGTAGGAAAGCAGAAAATGTTGGAGTCATTGGCGGTAGGAGAATGGGATTCTGGTGTGGCGTGAAGATTGGTCACTTTCGCTATGCTCTTTGGTGTCACGTGACCGCCCTTCAGAAGACCATTGGCAAGACCAGTAGCCACCGTCATCGCGAGTGGAGGATAGACCCTACAAGCCAGATTCGACTCGTGGGATTTACTGCGATGAAGAGGGAACGTGAACTTAATTCGATGTTTGGAGGGGGGCGTAGTGGGCATTTTTAGACCCCTTTCTCGAAATGTCGTGTTGCGTTGGAAGAAGGAGCAAGGTGAATGGGGTGGCTGTGGAGGGCTTTCATTAGTGCTTGTGTAAGACGCCGACATCAAGGCACCTCTCGAAGGAGATTTTTGATGAACGGGAGTTCCGAATACTCGGGGAGCAGGTGTAGAAGGAACGGAGAGTCCGCCGTCAAAAATGCTTGACTTGATAATATTTGTTGAATTAGTCCGGTGTGTTCCTGGGGAAAGAGCTCGATAGAAACGTTGAAAGGGAACCGGTGTTTTTGCACGTCGAGAATTCCTATTTAGAGTTTGCGTAGTAAGATCCATGACGTAGGCAGGATGATTAAAGGAAAATTGTAAGTTAGGAGGATTTATTGAAAAACATGAAGAGGGATGACTTTCCCCACCAGAACGAAGGGAAGGAATGGGAGGAGAAAGTACCTCATTAAAGTGCTCAATTTCGCTAGTGTGGTCAGAGCTAAAACGACCTGAACGCAGGGTACATCGATTCCCAAATGCACTATTAGAGTCATGAGTTGATGTGGAACAGGAACCCTCCTCGAAGTCCTGAGGTCCAGTCACGTAGAGAGGAGGGCTAGAAAGTGGATCACAATGAAGAAGTACGGAACCATCTGGCCTCTCAAACTCCGGGGAAGGTTCACTTCTCTCAGTCAACTTGATAACCTGCTTTATTAAATTCCGAGTGTCATCTTCAAAGGGTTGATCGCTCTCTAATAAATCAATATTGCTGCGTATTTTTGATAAACCCATTAATATTCGATCAGTGTCCTCTTGAGAAACACTATAATCTTTTAAAATATCCACCACCTCATTCTCAGGCATATCCAAAAGCTTCAAAAATGTTATGTCGCGCAAGTAGAGAAGACCATTAATCGTATCCTCGTCAATGCTCAGACAGCGAAAGCATGAAATTGAACTCGGATAGTTTAGCAAAATAGAATCAGCCACGTCCTCTTCAGCATTGCAAATTTCCGAAATTTGTTGTGCGATGTACTCGAACGTTTTGTTCTGCGAAGAATCAAACAATTCAATTACCTTACCTCTCCGTCCTGAATTTCCAAAGTGAGGATATCTAAATAGTCATTTGATTTTTTGAGCTCTTTCCTCAGTGGAGTAAGCACGTAGTCCAAAGTTATATCGATGAGACTTTGCAAATCAGTGCAATACTGCAGAGATGTCTTACAACCGTTATCAGCCCGCGCATCGGACATCTCACAAAACGAACATGCACTACAAACCCGACATCATTCAATGACCGCGGGTACAAAATCTCGACCTAGTACTTGTTTATTTCCATTCACTATGCGGTAGAATCTGCAGCACAAAAGAAGGCAGTAACGCTTTTTTATACCATAGCACTACGTGACAGACACAAAGGTTAGCTTTACATTGTCGTTTGAAGAGGATTCGTAAAGTGACGTTCAATGCTTTCGAAATGATAAGTTAACTATCAAATACAGCCCAAACGTCTTGTTGATAAAAAGACAGTTCAAATGCGGTGCAACATTCCCATTTCTTTTCCATTATTTATAACAAATTCTGCAGTGCTGCGAAAAAACATTATTAACTGTATTTACTTACTTACACATCGATTATATTTGGTTATGCGCCTACATCACTGCTTATAGGACAGGTGTGTACTGCTGTGCCGTTCCGGCGCGCTATTTGTTTGTTGGGTCATTGGTGCTTGCAATATGCGGATTCTTAGCAAAAGCATTCACAAGTACTTGTCAGGTTGTATTTCAATGATTGCCGAGAATGAGGAAGATATGTGGCTTATATACAACCTTGTTCAAGTTGGTGATCGGGTTTGCTGTTCTACAGTACGCAAAGTACAAACTGAAAATGCAACAGGCAGCGTCACCTCCAAAACCGTCCGTACTAACCTCACAATTGAAATAGAAACCATTGACTTCGACACACATGTGATTGTTTGCTAGTTCTTGATGGTCTTCTTTGCCTCTATATGCTTTTGTTGTTTTTGCGACCATCTTGCCGCTGTACTTAACGCCCGTGGAGCAACTTAAAATGGTCTTAGAAAAGCCTATTTTACTTGTTCTTCTAGGGTTCAATTCTTCATCTCAAAGGCAAGAATGTTGTGGAGAATCAGCATGTAAAAATGGGTGCGTACCATACATTGCAAATTGGGGTTCAGGAGAAATTTACTTTGCACAAAGAGGCCTGGGATACCGTGTCTCTTCTTTTGGTGGACCAGGCAGGCGATCCAACCCAACAGGCCGATCTTGCGGCTGTGGTCATGCATGAGGGCTTGGCCTATCTTTGCCTCATTACCAACAGTACCACTCATGTTCGAGCTAAGATTGAAAACACTATTCCTCGCAAACGAGCTAACATGCCCACCTCTCCGCATGATAAAGCGATTGCCAAGTTCTTTGATCAAATCATCCAAGCTATTGAACGTCATGTTCGCTTTGATGGTAGGCATTTGCATATTCCAATCCTTTATACCTCAAACGTGTCAAATTTTATTCACCTCCTTTTCAGTTGTCAAATGTGTGATAATAGCCAGTCCGGGCTTTCTAAAGGATCATTTTTTCGAGTATCTTTGCCAACAGGCATTGCGAGGAGCTGAGGACAAACGTGTGCTTTTGGACAATAAACGAAAATTTTTGCTGGTACATTCTTCTTCAGGCCATAAGCATGCGTTGAAAGAAGTTCTTGCTGATCCTGCGGTGGTGAGCAGAATTGCTAACACTAAGGCATTGGGGGAGATCACTGCACTGAATGAGTTCTATCAGATGCTTAAAGCAGACCCTTCTCGTGCCTTTTATGGGTGCGTCTTTCATTTCTTTGTTTTCTTGCAAACGCGCTGTTTAACTAATGTGCTTTTTGTTAGCGTGAAACATGTTCAAGCAGCTGTCGACGCATACGCAGTGGAGACGCTCCTCATCTCTGATGCTCTGTTCCGCTCCCGGGACCTAATAGAGCGCAAAAAATTCGTTGATATTGTTGACTCAGTCACTAAGAGCATGGGGACTGTGCGCATCTTTTCCAGCCTTAACGTTTCTGGCGAGCGTAAGTTATTCACTTGCATAGCTGGTCTCCTTTAGCAGCATTGTCGAATGTTTTTTTCTTCAGAGTTGAACCAACTTTCAGGGATTGCAGCAGTCCTGCGTTTCCCCGTGGCAGAGCCGCAGTCTGACGATGAGGATGACGGGAACGACTCGGATGAAGGGGAAATGGTTACTGCCTGAGCCCCATCCATTTTTTTCTCATGTACAGGGCGCTGGACTACCTATTTTCCATATTAGAGAATGTGGGTTATTTTTTGCTTCCGTCTAGTTGCATTGTTGCTCCTGGTAACTTATCTTCCCCGAGAATCACCTCTGAGTTTTCACTCAGACTAAGGAATTGACTTACTGGAATCTCCTTTATCCATGTTTTGCCAAATGGAGACAGCTAACTTTGGAAAATGCCTAATATGCCCAGATAGAGCCGCTAATGCAGTCCACCCTGCATCCGTATTATTGTAAACAGTTGATGTTCCTTGGATTTTCCATTGCCGCTTAAGGCTAGGAGATGCACGGCAAGGGTGGGTGCACGACTTTGAAGACGATAGTGACATAACCCATGCAGATTTAAGGCTACTAGTGTTATAAGGCGTGCCATTTCTATGGATGTGGCCACGTAAAGGCCTTGAACCAAATAAACTTACTACTTCAATACTACCTTAAGTTTGTGGTCGCATTCGCTCACTCGAGATACTGGTGAGAACAAATCACACCCGAGTCAAATCAATGATGTAATGTATGTTTATCTGAAATGATACACATTTCGGTAACAAGAGTACAAGGATCATGTGGGCTTCTTGAATTTATGCGATTTGATCATGTTAACTCGAATTCCTCTCAACTCTCCTGCGTATGGAGTGTCCTCCTTCCGCAGGTTAGGCACTCGTGATTTGTAACGGATCTGGGCCTTCTTGTATTTGTAACGCAGGTGTACGCGGGGGTTTCTCTCGCGTTTATGGCGATATTTCACGATGCCACGGTTTTCCATGATCTGGATAACGAATACCATATGTGATAAAGCTCTTACGTAAATGGGCGCTTTCGGTGTAAACTGACCTCTTTTGTAACTGGACGATTGGGGTAGATTACGGAACGCTTATCACTAGGCTCCTCTTCACTATCGTTCACATCCATCACCTCTTCATTGTCGTCGCTGCCGCCTTCAGGAGTGGACTCGTTCTCAGAGCCCTCTTGGAGGGCCTCAATAAGCGCATCCTTTGCCTTCATGAAAGTCCTAAAGAATAAAAGCATCACTTGAATTCCTCGCCATAGCACATCACAAACTAGATATACGTACGGTATACACAGCATGCAGTTTATACAGTGTAGCGGGAAGTATGCCGTTTCAAGCAACGCCGTGAACTCGTTCTTTGGTGACCCACGAGTAAGGCAAAGCTTGATAATTACTTTCGTCATAAAGAATCTACGAGTACTGTAACTAACAATATTTAACTCATACTGAGGTCGGACATTACCATCACGCAAGGTGTTCATTTAATAACAATATAAAAAATGAAGAAAATGATACATGAGGCACTAAGAAAATTACCCGGTGGTTGATGATGTTGCCGTTGCATCACGCTGTAAAGAATGAAGTTTGTTGAATGCCGTCAATACTCGGCTGTGAGTGGAATGGCAAGTAATGTCCTACCTTTTGCAGGAGAGCACCTTTAAGATCGGCTAGAGGCAGAAGGACGCTTAGACTAAAAGAGGAAGGTTGAACACAGATTGTGAAGTGAAAGTTGATAGTATGAAGGAGGGTTAATGGTTATGGTTATGGTTAATGGTAATGCTGCCCTAAAATCACTTTAAACGTCGGTAGCTTTAAGATCATCAACTTTGGCATTTCTAGATGAGCATATATATGTGTATGTATTAAAACCAACTCATATCATGTAGAATTTCCATGCAAGCTGTATCTTCTACCTTAATTATATCCACATAAGAGAAATTACGAAACATCTTTCTTTAAACACTACAGCTAAAATTATCAAAGAAATCAGGCACAAGGTGAGTACTACATTGTTCTTCATGAAAATAGATTGAAACAGTACAGACTCGGATCCCATTAACAAAGGAGACTGCCAACATTATGCAAACAAACCACAGAATGCGAAAACCTTAGCCCAAAACATAATCGCAGTTGTAGGGCAGTGCATAAAATATGAAAAATGGAGTATTCGCATTATACGACAGACATACAACTGGGCACGATGTTTCAAGTTGGCTATTTGATTGGCCATTTCATGAATAGGCAGTTTCACGACCCTACCCTCCGCCGCAGCCGACCTACCCAAGTGCAACAGGCGGTCACCTGCAACATTGAAGAAACCAGAGTCATCAGCCACCGTCTTCTGGCGATCCTGAAACGGATATGTGAAATTCCACAAGATCCAAGAAGTGATTTTGATCGTTAGGCGTGCTTGGTGAAAGGCCAGTAGATTCGACAAAAAACGGAAAACCTTATTTCAAAGATTGACGCTGATCTCTAAATTCGTAACAGCCAAAACCGCTCTGTTGAGTAAAAATGGTGATCCGTCGGTTTAAGGCTAATCGTGACAATTAAACAATTCAGAAGTGGAATCTCCCTTGGTAAGTTAGCCATTCCATCCATTCTTGTCTAAAAGTGGTGAGTGAAAACAGTGACAGGAAATACACAGAACTAACAAGAAGTAAATGTCTTAGCTGGCGATGGATAGGGTTGTGATGAAAGCCCGGAGTAGCGATACGACGATGTACAAGGTAGGATTGAAGAAGGTCGCAATAACTTGGGAAAGAAAAAGGAATAAAGCGTAACGCCGACAGAAATAATAAATTAGGCTACAAAATTCTACTTGGACAGCCAGGTGAGGCGTTCCTTGACAAAGGTGGCAGTGACTGAGTCGGGGGGTAGGTTGAGTATTACAGCAGAGGTAGATTCCGAGCTGACCGGATTTTCAAGGCCCAAATACATGGCCAACGGGATCCACTTCTTGTTCAACCAAATCTGGCATTTATCCAGTTCTCTGAACCAGACTCCACAATCTGGATAGTTGTCGTCGAGATACTAAGGAAAATATTGAATTTGGACCGCATATCACAAACACCGACTTGAGAGTTGGGTGACGAAATAATTTCCAAAACTTCCAAATTAAATAAGGCAACGCAGAATTTTACATAGAACAATCTGAGGCACCGAAATTGAAAACATGCTAAACTAAAATAAAAATCAAATTGATTCAGAGAACGCATAGAAAATCATACCGGGAGTGGTTACAAGCTACTTAAAGAACAATGACTAAAAGGTATACCAATTAAACATCATCAGAATTGTAGTAACACAGAGGCAAAGAAAAAACACGAAACTTGCCTTTTGGACAATCGCCTTGTCACGATTTCTAGGCCAGACAAGAAGAGGAAATCCATGACTGCGGAAAGCTGCTGCCTCCTCTTCCAATGTTACCGGAAATTTGGACAACTTCGATGTATTAGAGAGAGTAGTTTCAAAAATAACAAAATCGAGTACTTTGTTCGAACTAAATGGAACGCCTTCACGTAGATGCAACTGAAGTCGACTTTGACCAGACGAGTAGAGTAGCTCTCCTTTTGAAAGTGGACTTGTGAAGAAGGCAAGAGAAGCATATGGGCTTGGATGGCATGTATAGAGTAAAGATTGTCTCTGATGACAGTCCCTGAGGAAAAGATTCACCGATTCTAAAAGATATGAGAAGTGAAAGGGGCAAATTCAACAGAGAATTCTGCGAACATCGACAGGTGCAAAGTAACTAGGAGCGTTTGCCATGACTCTAACACTTAAAGGTGGTATTTGCTCGTCACAATACCTTCGTCATTTTCGTCATATTTGTCGCCACCATAGTATCTACTCTGCATTTTTTTGAATCCTAAAAACCATAAAAATGTGTAGCAGTAGACGCCAAAAATACTCCGCTCGACGCCGGAACAAATTAATTCGTCACGAGTCGACATTGTCCGTTATAACAAAAACTTACATATTCGAGGATAATATCTGGATAAGTCTCGCGTCGGAATTCTTCTTAACACATGCACACATAATCCCTTTATACGGAACTATATTTTAATGCTTTGTTTATGCGAATACGCGACGTTCAGCGGTCCATTTAGAATTTGTCTGACCCCTATACTCGTGGGATGGTTTTCGGGCCATGCTCAGGCCCATTTGCTCTTTTCTCGTCATAATCCATGTATTCGGCCTCACTTACTGCCTTTTTTCACTCTGTGAGGAGTCTCAGGACGCTAAATTTTCGGATCCCATTTTCTCGGTAATACACCTTTTCTAGACCAAGGTTCCGTCGTCTGGTGCTGGAAGCCATCGATGGTCAACAGATGTATGCGATTCCGATTCTGTCTCTGCTGCAGTAAAGGCAAGCAACTTAGTCCTGACAATGCTTTGAACGAGGAGATTTTGCAGCATCATTATGAAAAAAAATGGACGCACTCAGCTTGAAAGCTTGTCAAGTGCACTTAAAAATGGGTAAAGCCTCCTTGGAAGTTGGCTTTGTGCATTTCGAAAAGGAACTGCTACATCGGATTGTCTATCGAACTCAAGCTAGTTAGTGTGATCAGTTCTCCAAAAAAATACGACAGTGACTGCACTACTCGTGAAAAAGATGACAAAGACTTTGAAAGAATGCACCGACGGCCCTCACATCCCCTGAAATTACTAGATTTCTGTTGCGTCTGTACATCTTGCTGCATTTATTCGGCATGTTGTCTCTCGGAAATAGCAACTCCGAATTCGTTCATAACGAGAATCAAGTAGATAAACCTAATCACACTCACTAATCGATGAGAGGCTTCTGCTTAAAAATGTAGTTCCGTTTTTGCACCTGATCCTTAGCCGTGCCAGCTTCGCACACCGAGCCGTACAGTGGGAACTCGTCCAAATTTCTTTATGACCAACAACAAGATAGCGAGGAAGGCGTAATATGGTACCAGAACACTTAAAGAAGGTCTCTAATATGCAAAAACTACTGAGAGTGAATCCTTTGAAATTATACTCGCTATGGTCCCTTTTTGTCTGGTGAAGGCCTTTGCTCTATAAACTACCCTGTTCGCTGTCACTCTGGATCTGGCCGATGACAATCCTTAACAATAGGATACAACCATAAAGAAGTACTTATAGTCGAATGTGAATATTAATTTCGCACATTAACCTGGCTTAGGAGAGATGTTAGGCACCACTAACTAGTAATCTAAATATGCTTTGTGCGATGATTGTGGACAATAACTCAAGCAATTATACGTAATCCATCGTAGCCCCTTGTGTTGGACCTAGTCAAACTAAGGGTACAGAGTGAAACCGCTACTGTACTGCTTTTGTTATATATGGTGGTTGCTTTAGCATTTGTTTTGCCCTTGTAAGCTCTAGCTGACCTTCGGGCCATGCTAAGACATTTTCCTTGTCATTCTTTCTTAAAATACGTACATTCTGCTCAATCTGATGCCTTCATCTACCTAATGCAAAGTCTTGGAACACAACAGCTACACCGTCTGTAATACTGTTTTCGTTCGACTCCTTATATGAATCACTTAGCTTTTCGGCTATATGCCGCGGGTTGGAAGGGTTTCAAGCTATGCTAAAGCCGCAATTTTTCACTTTTGTTGTAAATATATGCATTCAATTAAGTCCAATGTACTAGGAAAAGTCGCAGCGTCATAAAATCTTTTCTGAAATAATTAAACAAGGAATGTTTTAAAAGCAAGTACAAAATGCGTACGATTCATTTTAAGGATCAAAAGTGCACGAACTACATACTATATTGCTGTAGCTAACAAATTAAACCATTAGCTAATCATTAGTTACTCTATAAAATCGAATCTTAAAGATGAATTCATTGAATGAGTACGTTCCGTAGTTTACAACTTATGATCATATTACATATTTGGAATAATGCATATATTTTTTTGAATATCCATATTTCCAGCAAAGCAATAATTAGACCGAACATGGAACATATGCAGCAATCAAATAGTCACTTCAGTTGCTCAATTTAAATAGACTGACTTTAAGTGCACTTTTTCAAAATGTCTGATCTCTTGAGGCGTCAGTTCGTTCCTAGGTTGAGAAGTAGTGACAAGTAATTCATTCTTTGATATTTACCCAATTTGCCTTATATTTCAGTGTACAGAATATGGGAAGAAGGGGCGTGTCGTACATTCCTCAGAAATGGAACAAATACTTCAATATTCGGGATGATGTTGAGATAGCGAGTGGGGTATGTTGGTTTTTTTGGTAATATCTTTTAACACAGACCTATCGGATATACCGTCGGGGAGTTGAAGGCCCTTTATTATTTTTTATTCATGGTGGAGGCTTTTCGGCTTTGTCATGGTCCTTATTAAGCGTACGTTCATATAATGTCACTTCGTTAAACCTTACAGAAAGCGATAACGGAAGACGTTCGTTGTCAATGTCTTGCTGTTGATATGCGTGGTCATGGTATGCATATAAGCGACTTAGCTATATGCAAATGTATTTTTTTAAGGTGACACGCAATGCAAAGACGAGAGCGACTATTCTATCGAGACTCTGGCAAACGATATAATTCAAATTATATTTGCCATGTTTCCTACTGAAGCTCCACCGATTATTTTAATTGGCCACAGGTGTGTTTGCTCATTTAAGTTAGTTTTTTCCCGGTTTCGACTTTTATCTTCGCATGCATTGTTTTAGTATGGGTGGCGCTGTCGCTGTGCATGTGGCCCAAAAAAGGGCCATACCTTCGTTTGCTGGTCTCGTTGTTGTTGATGTTGTTGAGGGTACGTTTGCTGTTGGTATGCCTTAAATCCTTACCATAACTCAGTTAGGTTACCTGATCATATCCGCTTTTCCATTACAAATTTATTTGGTCTTTGACTTATTTCCGTCTTTTTTGAAACCTGAGAATTCGGACCTGCACTTCTCATTTACTGTCTTTGTTTGCTCCAGTAGGTATCATTTTGGTTTGCATTTGAAAATAACTGTGTTAAAACTGATTCGTTTGCTTGAGGTCTTATTTGTAGCGCTTCTGCGTAAGACGAGGTCCTGTTTTCTGAAGGTATATTACTTATGGTGCGAAATGAGACTTGAGAATGTGCACATTAATGCGCATCAACTGCGTTGAAGTTTCCGTGCGTGGTATCCTATGGTTGATTTATTATTGTGGGAATCCACCAGTTATTTTTATCATATTTGTGTTTGAACTCAAAATCTCCGTTCTTAAACTGATTGAGTCGCCTTACATCAAGAAATCTCTATTTAAAACATTTTCTGGTAGTGTTCTCCATTTTTAATGTAAATGAGCTGCCTTCCTTTACACCTTTCCAACACAACAATTCGCGCCTTTTTGCTACATCTGTTCGATAGCATTTGGCAAGTCTGTTGGCATATCTTGCTTTACCGCTTTCCAAGAGGCCCTTTTGCTTAATGGAATTCTTTTCTTTGTTGCAAAATCATCGTATCGTTAGATCAGATAGAGCCTGTCTTTGCAACTCCAGCAATGTAAAAATTGCTTCATTACGTGATACCAGTTCATGAAGAAGTGGTCCCACTTTTTCCTCTGTAGGTACCGCCCTTGAATCACTGTACAGCATGACCACCTTTCTTCGCAGCAGACCTCAGGGCTTTCGTTCACTTGTCGACGGTATCTCTTGGTGGTAAGTTGGGAGCTCTGTCATCAATCCTTGATCGTTTGATAGTGAATAAAATTGGCTTATTCGGTTTTGTTAATCTAACACTTAATGGCATTCCTTTGGCATAAAGTCCCATGCTGGTTAGTGCAACAAATGTAGGCTACGAAATGCGGAGCTTAATCAATCGCTTTTTGTTGCTTTCTCTTGTTTCTGGCGCTAAGTTTGGTAGGACGAGCTGTTTTCCATTACTCTATTTTTAGCTAACAACCTTTTTAAAACTGGTTTCAACTGTTGGAAAGCATGTGTGATAAACAATAATTCACATTTCCGATAAGCAATTACAGTTAACCTTTTTCATGCTGAAAATAATTAACGGCTCCTTTCTTTTCAGTGTACGTAGTGGCCAAATTCACAATGTGGAATCGGCGTGCATCTCCTTCCCTGGTCAGTTGAAACGTATTACCACAGGCGAGAGTGCCACGCGCGAGTTAGACAAGGGCACAGCACTGATCGATGCTAATGATTTTTGCGGTCCAACCTCCTGTCCGTCTTCCTCTTCCTCCACCACCACTATCTCTTCCCATTCCTCCAAACCCTTTACTTCCAGTACAACTGCCATCTCAGAAGAAGAGGAACAGGAGGAGAATGAGGAAGAATCATTGGTATCGCGCTTCGTAGAGAAAGGCAACGGTGAAATGAGGTCATCCCAGTCTCTTTCTGGTTCTCATCCCCTTCCACCGATACGTACGCCAACCGCAGAAACTGCTGTTAGGCCATCCGTGCCAGTCTCAGATACCATGGGTGCCTACACTTGGCGGATAGATCTCTCCAAGACTGAGCCCTTTTGGCATGGTTGGTTTTCCAACATGTCTTCGCTCTTCTTATCTGTTCCGGAGCCTAAGCTTCTTCTCGTGGCTGGAGTCGATCGGCTAGACAAGGAATTGACTATCGCTCAGATGCAAGGTATTAGTCGTCACTTTGTTCTGCCCCTAGTCGATTATTTTCTATTGTTCTTGAGCTTTATTCAAAATGCTAGCATTTAGATTTCGGGTATGGTCGACGGACCATTCTTAGTTTGCCAGCCATGAAAAGCGATAGGTCAGTCTTTGCCGAGTGAAGGTGATGATAACCGCTATTGTGAGAGTCGTAGCCTTGGTTATTAGTTGAAGCCGATATAGCTAGTCGGGGACTTTTTGGTACTTCATATTAGCTTGATTTGAGTTACCATATGGGCGGCTTATATTTTCAGAGCCAAATTTACCTACACTGACCCATTCCCCTTGTACAGTAGGTTTCGCCTAGCCTACCATTCTAAAGTTCAAGAGAACTTAGTGAAAACTAAACTTGATCGCTTCTAACTATTTTTTAGTTGCTTTTATTAAAGCAACCACATCAAGAAGTTTCAAGCCTACAAATGCAAATTTGTGCAGTTTGGGATTGTCTGATTGGATGCCTTTTCAGCAACTTATTAATACGATGAATTTACCACACATCAAGACACACCCTTGACTGTGCTCCTCGTAATATAAGCTATTTTCAATTTGGGAACCTTCAAGGTTCAGTACTTTGGAGAGATTGTATGTTCACTTGGGCTTAGAAGTAAGAGGAAGGGGACGAAACATAAAAGGAAGAATAACTCATTGACGTAGCCAGATTGGGTTCGATATTCATTGTGAGATTTTTGCCTACAAGGAGGCCTTCGAGAGCAGCATATAATCGGTCTCTTCTTTTACCTGTCGGATAAGCTGATGAAAAATGCCTCCTTTGCATCAGCATTTGGTATCATTTGGCCACATGCTGACAACTGCAGGATTTTTTCCCAGGTCACTTACCTTGACTGTCGCTTTCAGTAGTGTTAACGTGGTTTTTTCTTTACTTGAGGCAAATTTCAATTGAAAATTTTACCCCGTGCGGGCCATGCAATCCACGAAGATTCCCCAGACGAAGTGAGTCCACGCTTATTTTGAGAATGCATACTTCATAATACTTTGCCGTTATTGATAGTTTTTTTAAATTAGCTTGAGAGTGCGTTGCTCATCAGGACCTTGTAAATTATGTTAATAGGAAGCCTTCTCATTTCGTACTATCTTGATGTCTGTAAATATCGAAATTTTCTGATCATTCTCGCCTCCCTATTCCTATTCGTTTGATGCAACACGTTGAAGTACCGTTTATTCCCGAATTTCAGGTGGCATCTTGCCTTGCTCACTTCCTTCTCCGAAACCAATTTACCGGTGCGAAACCAAATCTGTGTACGTCCCCTCATTTATTTTAAGGCACCTTAACCTTTATTGTGATTTTATTTCTCTTAAGTCATAATGGTAATTTGTTTGAGTGTTTTCAGCATATGCTTAAATAAATTTAATGGCAATTATTTAAAGTTCTTGTTTTTACCTTATTCTTAATGCTCAACTTCTCGAAGCATAATGGTTCTTCATGTTCAATGTGAAATGCTAGTTTTTCTTCATCCATATTGTATGCCATGGAACGGTTTACTCGCCCAAGTTATCTGTGTTGTATTCTGTGTCCATTTGCAAGAGTTCGTTGAATTGATTCTCAAGAGGCTCTCTTCAATCAACCAAAATATAGAATCTTCTTTTGATGTCTCGAAGTGCACTATTTCGTTGTTTTGGCGGTTGAAATAATTGCCATCTCTAAACTCTGTGCCCCTATGTCAATTTATCACCTGTACTCGTTGGCCGTAAATTCATACTCATGATGCTCATCTATGGCTGGAATGATGTAGAAACCTAAATACTCTCAGACCATGGTAATAACATTATAGATTCCAGTGGGGGAATTATTGAGAGATAAATACTCCACCTACGTAGTTATTCGTGCTCCCTGATTTCGGTTACATTCAAAAGGGTTTGTGATCTATATGCTTTGATTATTGCCTGAATATAATCTCGAAACTGGTATCGCGCTCAGTCTGTGCATGAGATTTTATTCAAACTATGTCTCCCTACTCCCTGCCACCGTGATGCATTCGCCGGCAAGTGAACTTACTAATCCTCCCTTTAATTAACGGACCAATTTATTTTAGAACAGTTTTAGTGATTTCGTTTTTTGAAGGTACAAGTAGGGCCAGTATCTACTGAGTGCAATGTTTTATCAATGGACATTTCTTCATTAGTAAGCCGTAAAGGTAATGCAGCATCCTGATCCTCCCAGATGTCGTAGTAAAGCGCATCTCAATGGATGGCTGTTCATTTTCAGCATTCAGGACTCTGGGAAGTTATGGGTGACCAAAAGCAAGGAAAAAGAAACTAAGAACTATCATCAAGTTGCCAAATAGACTCAGCCTCGTCTATGGCGATCTCATAGATGGTTTTACTTCTCCGACCATACCAAGTTTTTGTGCGAATTGCACCTATCTGCCTATTGATGGTAGCGCTTACCTTAGTCTTAAATGGGATATATGATCACTGCACTGTTCATACTGTATGCTGTTTCTAGAGTACATTTCACTTCGATTTCGCCTTACGTTAGGAGTTGCCTTGTAGTAGTATTACAACCAGATTGCCAACGTATGATATGATCAGTTTCCTTTTATGAAAAGCCACTCTTGACGCATTAAATCTTATTATTGGTCAATCAACAGCTTTTGTGTGGAACTTTCGTTTTGGGATTTGCTGGAAGCAGTCAATTTTATAAGCACGTTATTAGTTAGATCCTGCGGACGCCTATCTACGCCGAAGGTATGCCCCTTCAGTGATTGTCCCGCGATTGTTCAGTTTTTTTTGCTTCATTTTTAACTTTCCAAGTCCGACTCGTTTTCCATTTTAGTGACTCTTAATGACAGCAACCCCTCTTTTGCTTTTGATGATGTCTGTAAATAATCTTGTTGTAATTTCCATTTGGTATTTTTAAAAGAACTAAACAGTTTATCGTACATCAGGAATGTGTACCACTTTCGCTCATTGTTTACTTTTGTGTAAAACTTTTTGAAGCTATGACTTTTGACTCATTTTCTTTTTCTTCTGGAGCTTGCCCCATAAGACACTGAAGATCGAATGACTTAGCAGGATGGATTATTTATGGAATATCTTTATGTATTTACTCTTTGCTTCACCTGTTCTCGCGTTTCATACCGCCAATATGGCTTTTGAAGGCACGACAGTGAAATAACTTCACGTGAACAACGTTTTTATGGGCTATTTCCGAAAACTTTCTCTTTGTTCCAACTCATTACATTGATGCATTTCAGAAAAAACGGTATCTTGTGAGCTCTTTTGGTACAACTTTTTAAACTGCTGTTTTCTCCTGCCTTCAATTTTTTGCAGTAAATTAATTAATGGACCAAGTTCGCAGCTGCAAAAATTGTGTGCATTTGTAATTATATATTTGGATACGTAGGTTGTGCTATTGCTCGCCAATTCAAATTCACATACCGGTATCAATTTGCCTTTACTGAGAGAAAAAGTTGGTCATTTTTACTAGCTTGTTCCTTACACGATCTTCACAATCCTTAAGCAGACTAAAGAAGGGGGTTTACACTTTAGGTGCTGCATACGTACATAATTTTCAATTGGTCAGACTGGTTTCCAAGCCACGGAAGCTAGTGCAAAGATTTATACTCTCTTGCGTCGCCGCTTATTAAATTGTAGTTTTTGCGGGTATTTTCCGTCAGTAAAAGTATTTATGTGCTCTTGGCATTATGAAAACCATTCCATGCATCCAACAGGCTTATACTATGTTGATACTGGTTGAAATATAAACTACATCCATTCTTATCTGAAAGAATAAGAAATATATTCTGTCAGCTCGCACTAGTTGAAGCACTTTACTACCTTCTTTCCTCTAGAACCAGAACTCAACAATTTAGTCCTTCCTGTGGTGCTGATGCCGTCACTTGGCCATCATTTGGGGAAGATAGTTTTTGTACACATCTACGACTCTTCTAACTCCCTCTAGATGTATTCTACTCGTTACCTTATCCCCGCTGCTCTCTCCTCCCTGCTTCCTACGAGTTCTCCTGCTACTGCACGTGTGTGCGACCTGGAGACTCTAAAATCGTTTCCCTCGCCCTAGCCTCGCCTTCGACCCTGTTTCTCCACCCCTCTCTTCACCATGTCGGTACCCACTCCATGCTCCATTTTCTCGCCTCAAAGCTTCCCCTATTTCTTTCTGGCCATCTTGATGTCATATCCCTTTGGTTAGCCTACTCCTTAATCTACGAACCTACCTACGCGCACGCCTCAACCTGCTTGCCTACCTGCCTGTGTCCCAACGAGCAAGCATCCTTGCATAGACAGCTCTTTAGTGTTTCCCCGCAAACCGATATTACCTACGCTGAATATTTTGAAATACAGTAGAGTTGTTGAAGGAGAACGCTCGTGCTTATGCATGCATGGGATTGTGCCCCCATCTAACTATCTTTTTCGTATCTTTCGATACAATGCAGAATCAGGAACAACGATTCCATCTATCTTAATAGAAATTCGCCGACGAAAGAGTTTGGGTCTGTAGGGTAAGTGGAGATTCGATCTCTATTGACAAAACTTTGTTATGTACTAGTCACTTAGCTAGTGTGTCTGGATCTCGTTTCCCATTTTCCCACCTCAGTATTTTATTGTGTACCATCTGGGCTTTGATCTCGTGAGCTGTTGCATATGATAAGCTATTGGTTTGCTTTTATTTTCCGCC